ACTATTCTATTTTAATTTAATTCTACTATTTTGTGTTTTTAGGGCTAAGAAAAGGATCTCTGATTTAAACACAGAGGTTGAAAAGTACAAAGATTTCCTTTTGAAGGCATGTCACTTGGTCATGGAACACAAAACAAAGATGAATGTAAGTAAAGAGCCTAGATATCAAGGGTAGCTGTAATGCACTTGTGTCTGACCTCTGGGGTCTTTGGTTCAATTTTCATACTTGGTATCAAGTGTGAGTGGAGTGGGTTCAGTCTCCATTGATTCAAGCATTTCTCTCAAGGTTCTCTGGTTTTCCTTTCTCCACAAAACCTGATAGATGGGCAAATTATGACGAAATTTGTTTTGGCTGATTATTATTKAAMTCGCCAACCAGAAATTTATTGGACAATCCAACAAAGCAAGTGACAAAACCAATTGCATAAAAATGGTTGGCACGTTAATGTTGCAATGGCAATGTTTATAAACATAAGTATATATGCTTAATTCCAATTCRATCTGCAAGTTATCCATGCCCTGACATTGATCACATGTGATGCCGAGTCTAGGAATATAAGCAAAAACCCCAGAGGTGAGAGGCACATGGTACTGTTTTGCGACCCTCGAGTCCTGTACTTCAAAAAGGAAATTAAAAATTATTTTAAAATGTTCTCTCAATAGAATTGTGTTGCTGAAATAGAAGAAAAAGCAAGGGCAGCATTAGAAGAAACAAGAAACCTGGAAATCCCAAAGATAACCATTGAATTACCAGAAAAAGAGGAAAAGTAAAAATGGACCAAAGATTGTCCTGTGACGGACACCACAGCAACTCAAACTTTTTAAAGTTGTAGTTTGTTAGAGTTAGTTTGAAGTTAAAAACATTATAATGTGAAAATATACTGATGTATATATTATGTACTTAATACCATGATCATTTTTATTGTATACTTTCCAGGTATATGCAATACTGCCGAGAAGCCAGTTTGCAACCTTGATGTCTATTTTTAGTAATTCATAGTATCCTAAAAATACCATTTTTGTATAATAAAAAATTACTTCTGAGTACATGTTGAAATTCTTCATTCCAATTTACTCAACCCATGGAGGAAAAATATGGTTATAGGTCAGAAATAAAAAAAACTTCAATCATTGTCAGTAGCTTTATCATTTAATACCTTGCTTTGACATACTAAAACTACCTGTAAATATTTACAATATTCATACTACCATTACAGTGTGTTATCATAAATTAAACATAAGTTTGTTTATATTATTGTCATCACAATTCAAGTCAACAAAAGAAGATTCATTGATAGTATTAAAATGTTTTGCAATACTTGCAGTTTCGAGTTCTCTTTTGCTCAGGTTTAACCTCGATTTTGTGTAGAATATTTAGAGACTCCCAGTGAAGTTCCTTGGAAATTCAAAGTGTTTGTATTGTTGAAGTTGTACATTCAATAGTGTTTGTGAATATTCTTATGTGCATTTGAGGCTAAYGTTGAGTAAATACGTCTGCCAAGGAACACAGCAGTATTATATGAATTCGAAAATGGTCTTTTTAAAACCATTAGGCAACTTGCACCAACTAGTCRGGTGACCCCAAGGCACAAAATTAATGCTCCCAAACTCTCAAAATTCAGGTGAAATTTAGCTAGTGACAAAAATTTAACTAACCATGTTTTGCGAGTACGACAGTCCAGAAATTGAAGGCCTGAAATTCACTGCATCCAATTGCTAGTGACTTTGAAATTTTTGCTAATGAGAACAGTGGGTTTAAAAGTTAATTTCRTGCTCTGGAGCCTATCCACCTATCAATAGCACACACACCAGAAATGAAGAACAGCTCAATAAGCCTTTTCATAGCTTAAGAATCGATTCCACTGCGCATGCGATTTTATCCYGAATTTCTCACCTTTTGTTTAATTGAGAACAAAAGAAGGTTTAGACAAAAAAAAGGTGAGAAATTCGGGATAAAATCGCATGTGCAGTGGAATCGATTCTTAAACTATGAAAAGGCTCATAGTAAAAAAGGGACGTTCAAGTTCATAATCTTTGCACGTGATTGGCCTGTGTAGCCGGGCGTTCCTTGTGGGAACGCTTGGCTACGCAGGCTACACATGATGGCCATCTATGACAGGAGGCAGGAACAATCGAATCTGATTCCCCACGGGGAAAAGAATCTATTGTTGTGTATCCTGTCATGGCTGCCATCAAGTAATGGTACAAAGTCTCTATCGTTCTCTGTTCTGGTGGAACTGCTATCTGCGTTTACGTCTGCTTTTTTCCTTTTCTTGGTCTCTGTTTTTTCGATCTCGTTCTTTGGAGGAAGATCGTTTCTTTTCRCTATATGAGCAACCAAAAATATATGAGTATCATTCAGAGAATGTTATGAAAGTCCATCATTCTTGCCTCTGTTCATATTTCTTACCTTTGGTAACTTTCATTTCTGCCTCTTTCTCTTCTTTTTTCATCCTTTTGATGGGGAAATTATGTTTTTTCAATATTGATCTTCAGTTTTGATTCTCTTTAACCTTCCCCACCCCTTGGAAATTCCAATCCCCCTCTGGGAAAGGTATGGATTTTTCTGGAACTACACAATATACCCTCCTCAGACTCTCCCTACCCCTTGGAAATTTCAATCCCCCTCTGTGGGGGAGGTATGGATATTTTCTGGTACTACACAATATACTCTTCTCAGAACCTCCCCACCCCTTGGAAATTCCAATCCCCTTCTGTGGGGGGAGGCATGGATATTTTCTGGAACTACACAATATACCCTCCTCACCCCTTGTGTGAGGAGTTATGGTTACTTTTTGAAACTAACCTCTTTCTTGTAGTTACTTCTATCTTTCTCTCTCCTCCGCCRTCTGTCATCATCATCATCACTATCATCATGGTAATATCTTTTTTTGTTGCTTTGATGTTCATGCCTGTCGTCTTTTCTCCGTTCTTTGTGTCTTCTTTCATCTTCGCTAGAACTGTCATACCTGGATTTCTCTCTATGCTCTCGTTTTCTATCTTGCTTCTTAGGCTTCTCTTTAATGTACTTTTTTTCTGATTTTTCTTTCTTTCTTCTTTCATCATCACTTTTTTCATTTTTATCAAAAACAAGATCATATCTACGAAAACARAGTTAAGGACTCAAAAACTTAGAAGTAGAACGCTTCCTCAAATTCAGACCTACATTCCTTTGATTGATAAGGGTGTTACAAGGTTTCTTTTGAACTGTAAAAGACTAATTATGCTTGCAGAATGTTGTATCTCCATACTCCACCTTGAACCCTTTTCTYGTAGATAAAAGTTAAATCAAGCCCTCCTACCCCCCATGAAAAGTGCTGTAGAAACATAAGATCAGTTATTGATTTATGTGGCAAAACAATGACACATTTCAAATATTGATCATATTAGCTGAGATGGATGGATACTTGTCCTTTTTTGTTTTGTCTTTTATAGTGTATTTAGGTTGAGAATCTTTCTTTTCAGTATAAACAGSCTTTGCTCCTGAAAAAGAAAATCATGAAAGAAGGAAACAAGAATCGATTATTATTATAACCTTTTTAGTATAGTTATGAAGGTGAGGTGAAGTGATGAAAATTTTGATGGATTTGGTGACGATCAATGATGATGATGGTTGTGGTGATGAATGATGATGATCAATGATGATGTTGATGGTAGTGAATGAATCTGAAGATGATGATGGTGGGGGCAGTGAATATCAATGAATATGATGATCCATGATGATGATGGATTTGGTGACGATGCATAATGATGATGATGAATGATGGTATAAATGATGTCAATAATCATTGGTAATGATATTGATAATAATGGTGATGATGATGGCCATGAATGATTATGAAGATGATGATGATGGTGGGGGTGGCAGTGGTAATTGATGATAATGATGATGATGATGGTGATGATGATGATTATGAAGGTGATGATGACTGATGATGATGATGAGCCCCATAAACATTACACCAACCTTGTTTCATCCATTTTAAATGAGCCACTGACTGTGAGAAATCGACATGGATACGTCGATCATCGATCAGAACATTATCCATCTTGAAATAAGCTCTTTCACAATCCTCTTCCTAAAACAACATTTTWCTTCTTCAATACAAAGCAGACAGTGTGTCAATTAAAAAGATCTATCCTGATTTCACTTGAGTGTCCACAAAACAATATTGCTCTAAGTCGAGGCTGGATTCGATGTGTTCATACATCTACTGTATTTTACCAAGTCCAACCTTAACTTGCAACCATTGTTTTGTGGTTATTCAAGATTCAGGAAAAGGTTTTTTGAAGCTTCACTTACCTTTTCAAACTCTATGAAGGCATATTGAAGGGATTCTCCAGATTTTTGGTCTCGTACAATTTCACAGCTTAAAAATTCAACCCAAAAAACTAATTACTTTTATTTATAAATCATGATCAGCCAAAGGGTTGTTAATAAAATTGAGAAGTGTACCTTGTAATGGTGCCGAACCGTGAAAATATGATCTCCAAGTCTTCATCTGTTGTGACAGGATTCAATTTACAAACAAATAATACATTTTCTGGTGGTTTGACGTCTGCGTCAGGAATGTCACCGATCTGAAGGGTATACACAATGCTATGGTTAGTTGGGTGTTGGGTGTTTATTAGGCTAGCAATCTCAATGGTACATAAACAACAAAATGATGCTGATAATGATATTGATGATAATGATAATGATGATGGTGGTGTTGATGATGACGTTAATGGTGATCATGATGATCAGGATGGCACTGACAATGATGATGAGCGCCATGAATTTTGATATGTGCGCTATATAAGTTCCATTATTATTATTATTATGGCATTGATGGTGATGATAATGATGATGGTGTTGATGATGACACTGATGGTGATGATGGTGGTGTTGATGATGGCAATGATGGTGATGGTGATGATGATGGCATTGATGACACTGATGGTGATGATGATGGTGTTGATGATGACACTGATGGTGATGATGATGGTGATGATGACACTGATGGTGATGATGATGATGGTGGTGATGATGACACTGATGGTGATGATGATGGTGTTGATGATGA